AATTGTTTCTCTATAAATAAAAAAAAACTGAAGTCAACAGGATCAACATTTCTAATATTACTAAGGTACAGCGCTTTGGCAGATCGGTGGTTATTATTGTTTTCAGGGAGTGGGGGGAGGGGGGTCTTACCTGACAGCACATGTTAACAGAACAATTGTTGTGGTTGCCTGGCAGCGTCTGAACAACTTAGCTCTACAAAAGGACACAGAGATGTTCCACCTGCAGTTCTTCTGATTTTATGGATCTTATCGACAATCTGGGAGTTAAGCAGCAAAGCAGACAGGCCATGACAACACTAAGCCATACAAATAACAATAAACAAAAATGGGAGGATAGTTAAAGATGAATGTTAAAATAAAACAATAAAAAAATGCAGTCAACTAAAGGATGATAGTAGGAACTAAATGTAGGAACAGCTTTGCTTAATTTGAACAAAACTTTATCCAAAGGTAATTTTCTCTTCTTTAAACTATATATTTAGATCTTTACCACATCCTTTTAGCAGAAACCAACTAATTAATATTTCCGGGTCTAATTCTATCAGAGGAAAGTGATTAAAATGGGTTGATTATCCTAAACTCACGTTAAAACTGGTTTTGGAATAGATATAGCAGCTTAAAATCAACATCTGGAACCTCAGCCAGTGTCGTGTCTGAATGATCATATTTTGGATGCATCTTTATTCAACCGCACCTGATTCAACATGATCTGTCACCATGATGCATCTGCTAAAAAAAATGTCTCATCTGTTGCCGTTTATCATTAAAATTATCAAAAATTTAGGAGCAGCCTTAAAGGAACAGTAATATTTCAGCTGCTGCGTTTTTATTTTCATTTTCTTATATCATCCTTTTCCTCTCAGTTATCACTCAACTTATCTGAATTAAAGTTAATTTTAAATTGACTCTTAGTTTGTTTGCTGCTTTTACTATAGTTATTGTTTTAAAAATAATTTAAAGTCCACAAGCATCATCGTTCACATTTCCCCTTAAATGTTCACATAATGAAATATGTTTACTTTACTTATTGGCTGCATCTAAAAATATCAAAGATATT